ATAAGATACTTGTACTTTTACTCAAGTATCACTTTGAGGTACTTTATACAACACTGGTAATAAGCTTTTAGATGTCAAATCAAGCAGGTTCCCTTTATAAAGGATAAATCTGTATGTCATTGTCCTACACTTAATGACTTAAAGAAAGGCAGGATTGTTTTTCTTTGTGTCTGTTTATGTTTCTCTGTTACCAAAGTATCTCATGGACCACTGTACAAATTTGAATCAAACATTTGGAAGTAATCATTGGCTGTACACCTGACTAATTTTGGAGTCAATCCAATTCAAGATGTTCTCCACTGTAAGCTAACCTTAAAAACACAAAAGTGGCTGTAACTCAGTTTATACTGATCTAAACCTTGGTGTGGTTGTAGTTAGATTTTCGTCACATACTCTGAATGCCAACAGATTGTGAAATATCTTTGTTTTCCATTAACTATTTGATGTCTACACTGTCTGCTGCTGGAAAAATACCTCATTAGTTAGATTTTAGTGAAACCTTGAGAAAATAATAATTTATGGGCGTAAATACATTTAAAACTTACATTTTCTTAAGACAGGATGATCATAGTTCAACATTCTGTTATGAAAGGTGACAGCAATACGCATTTTTGTCATGGAATGTTTGATCATTAATATTTTATCATATTTAAGATAAAATACTTTTGTGTGTTCTTTTCACAGGTTTCCCAAAGATCCCGTGGTTCTCCTGCTTCTGCTGATTTATTTTCCTGTTGGCATTTGTTTGATGCTCATAAGGATTTTTATTGGTGTTCATGTTTTCCTGGTCAGCTGTGCACTTCCAGAGAGTTTTATTCGAAGGCAAGTATCCAATAATACATTTTCTTATTGTAGATGAGGCAGCAGTAGTAATATCATTAACAGGATTTGACTCACTTAAATGTCTAAAAATGGTTGTATTTAGTGCTCACACAGAAGCACAGCCACTTCATACTTTCATGAGTTTCCTTATTGAGAGTTTATATCTGTTCAGCATGAGGAGTCCTAACATAAGTAATGCAGGTGTGTGAATGAGAGGCTGTTTTATTCCATCTTTGAGGTGAATTCTCTGTATTTGTTTTTAGATTTATTGTAAGGATTATGTGTGCAGTCCTGGGGATGCATGTGAGACAGAAAAATCCTCGCTCCAGAGATAAAAACAACAAGCTGTTCATTTGCAATCACATAACAGAGTTTGATCATAACATCATCAACCTCCTGACTCCCTGCAGCACCGTGAGTACTTTTATTTTTACACCTTATCTAGCAGGGTTAAAACATTACAAACAGTATTCTGTGGTAAGATCACAGCATGGCATCTATTAGTTTATTACTGTACAAAAGTTTAAACCAAATTTACTTCAAAGATAAGGAGGGTTAAGGGTGACGAAATGTCATCAAATACAGTTCAACTGGATTTTAAGGGTCTTGTTCACTAAATCCAAGTTTTTGGCTAATAGCTTCCAAAGAATCTCTATGTTCATTCAAAAAAGCAGTTTTATGCTCAATAAGCATTATTATTAAAACATTATTATTATTATTATTATTATTATTATTATTATTATTGAGCTATTTTAAAGGTCTT